AATGTTAAAAAAGTTGTATATTATTATGACTTTCTGGGTCTTCTGTGGCATAAACCTAATATTCTCACACTGCGTTTCATATTTGCTGTCTGGAAGCAACAATGGCCTTGGCTTCTGTTAAAATGATGACACGATACAAAACATCACACAGAAATCCCGAGCTAAAAATAGATTGCCACGTTGCCAAGCTTCGGACGCAATAACATACTAGGTTTATATACTGTATACTTGACTCTGTATATTATTTTCGCACCTCTACCGGAGAATCGATGAACTAATAGTATACATTTTTATCTATAACACAAACATTATTGCGTCCACTACCAAACAGAAAATCCAGTAAAATCATAAAAATCCCAATAGGTGCCTCCACTTTTTATTGTGGAAAGGAAACTTAGAAACTTGTGTCACCTGTTGGCGCCTTAATTTTGTTTAAAAATTGACGGGAAGTCACAAAAACATGAGTTGACATTGTTGCGTCCGATATTCGGACGCAGTAATTCGAAGGAAGCAATAGTGTATGTGTCGAGGAAGTTTATGGACGCAACAATGATAGGATTTTGTATATATATATATATATATATATATATATATATATATATATATATATATATATATATATAATAGATCTTTATTGAACGAATACAGTTCAAAAGGCCATTGACCGAGGTCCTTCAGCCTATGAGTTTACAAAAATCATGGATATAAAATATCTTTGTTCACAATATTAGGTATTTGTTACAAAAAAAAAAAAATATATGAAAAACGACACAATAATACTTATAGCAAATATGCCCGCAAATATGTTTAGTTAGTTTTCGGATAGTTTTTCCCATATTGTTCTCTTAGAGTGTTGGTATCTTGCTCTTTCTGGTAGTCTTCTGATGGAGTATGGTTCAATTTTGGCTATATTGTCTGGCTTCTGCTTGAACTTTTGATTGAGTTGACTAATGCGTTGCTGAATTGGAAGTATGTGTGTTGTCAGATACAGAAGCTGGTTAGGCGGATTGTGCAGTGGATTGTTGGGATGTCTTAGTTTTGTGACAGCTCGAAGAGAAGATGTTTCTGCAACCTGTAAATTCTTCCATGCCGATGTTTTGAGGTTTTGGAAGATTACATGTCCGTATTCAATAAGTGGGCGACAAATCATTTTGTAGATTCTACATTTTGTATGCAATTTTATTCCGTCATTCTTCCATGATAAGCATTTAAAGTGCCTGGCTCTGGCTATAGTCTTTCTCTTGGTTTCTTGTGTATGTTTATTGAAATTAATTTTGTTGTCTAAACGGATTCCTAAATATTTAATGGATTGCTGTGGATGTAATTGGTGGTTGAATAATTGTATATATGGTGAGTTGTAGTTGGGAGTGTGGTTGAAAAGAATAAAATGAGATTTCATCGGGTTGGGTTGCAGTCGCCACTTGCAAAACCATTGCATCGTTGAGTTGCATAGATCTTGTAACTTGCTTGTGGTTGTTCTAATAGAGTTGCCATGAGCAATAAGTGCAGTGTCATCTGCATATTGTAATATGTAGTTGTCCATGTTAAAATGTTGTGTGTTTTGATCATATATGTCTGCACAGTAAATATTGTATAGCAATGGTGAAAGAGGTGAGCCTTGTGGGAGTCCTTGTTCTAGAATAAATTCATAAGATGTTTTATCTGCGATTTTAACTTTCAATTTCCTGTCCTTCAACAGACTGGCCACCGACATGAGTAGAAACAGGGGGCAGTTACATTGGTTGAGTTTGAACAATAAACCCCTGAGCCATACGCTATCAAAGGCCTTGTGGATGTCTAGGAAAATGGCGGCTGTTTTTCTTCCATTTAATCTTGTCGTTTCAATATTATTGGTTAATATAGTTAGGGGGTGTATTGTAGAACATTTGTTCCTAAAGCCGAATTGATATGGGGGAATCCTGTTTCCAATCTCTTGTTCAAGCTTGTTTTTGATTATTTTTTCAATATTTTTTCCTAATACAGGCAGTAATGTTATTGGCCGATAATTGGCTGTTCTTGAGTGGTCTAGATTTGGCTTTGGTATAGTTATTATTGTTCCTGTCTTCCATTCTGTCGGAATAAAAGCGTATTGTAAACAAAAGGAGTACATTTTTATGATATAGCTGTGGATGTTGCTGTTCAATTTTCTTAATAGTTTTCTTGTGATCATATCATGTCCGGGTGTTGTATTTTTTCCTTGGTGAAGTACATTATAATACTCGTCTTCTTCTATTGTATATTCCTGAGCGTTGTTTGATTTAAAATTAATGTTGATGTTATTATCATACCAGTTATTGATGTAATTATAATGGTTTTGATCAAAGTTGGGATGCTGACTTTCTGTATACGTTTTTTCCATGTGTTGTGTGAATATAAGTGCTTTTTCTTCCGGGGAGTCGTAGGGGATTCCGTTTTCCATAATAGTTCTATTATTTAGCTGCGTATTCTTATTCTTTGCTAATTTTTTAATCTCTGACCAGTAATTTCTCCCTTGTTGCTTATCTATATCTTCACAGGTAGTTAACCATTTATGTTCCTTATATTGCTGAATTAATTTTTGGATGTTCTTGTTATAATTGTTAATTTCTGTTTTTAGTTCCACATTTCCTGATTGCCTATATTCTCGGTATAGACGGCGTTTTCTTTTAATGAGGGTGATAATATAAGGTGGAAGTTCCTGAGTGTAGTATTTGATTTTCTTAACAGGTGTATTATCAGTTATTGCTTTAGTTAATTTTTTATTGAATTTGGCTATATTTTCCTTGTTTATTTCATGTGTTTCCGTAAATTTCGTGAGAATGTTATTTACTATTTCTATATTGGTGGCATTCAAGTTATACCTCAAAATTTCTTCTTCTTCCACAATTGGTGTATGAGTGTCAATGCCTATTTTAAAGCCCAAATGATCTGCTCCAAGGTCAGTGATATTTTCCACGTTTTTGATGTTGCCTTTTATATTACTGCTGTATAGTATGATGTCAGTCAACAATGAGTGAGTATTTATAAAGGGTAGACATGGTAAATATATTTTCTTCGATTCTTGAGTTTGGATGAATATATGCCAAGAATATGTGTAGTTTGTCATCGAGTTAAGGAATGGCGAAATGTAAACATTCGTTCAGAGGGTTGTTTACTCTTGGCGGGTTAGCCTTGTGGAGTTTAATACAGGGATGTAACTTTACCAAACTCCCTCCTCTGGCATGATTATGAATTTGAGTTCCATTGTGCTGTATAATGTTCCAATTATGGTATCTGATGGCATTTTGGTCCTCTCGTGTTTTGGTTTCTACAGACATTACTAGCTTTATATCATTGCACTCTATAAAATGGTTAATTGCTATTATTATTATTATTATACATATTCAAATTCAAATTCAAAATTTTATTAACGCTATTAAAGCATTTACAGTGTTATCAATTTAATATAAATGTCAAGCTACAAAATAAATCCCTATAAATATAATATAAAAAAAAGAACAATTAAAAGTCAAAATACATGTTTTAAAATACACACTATTTAGTTACAACTCTATAAAAAATAAATCACACAATGTAAGACATGAAATATAAAAATACAAAAAAATATAAAAAGACAAAAAAGATAAAAAATGATAGAAAAAGATGACAAAAAAAGATGACGGATTAAAAGCATAGCTATTATTCGAGCTCTTATCCTATCGCGAATGGTAAACTATTGTTTGTTTGAGGGGATTGAATGCGCCTCGATGCCAAAATATTTTTTCCTGCGCGAAGCACCTAACGCAGTCTATCATTGTATTCTTCCCCCCCCCTATTAATACTCCTTAGTGGGAATGAGATGAATGAAACAAGGAATGCATTGCGTTCTTAGTTTCAACGTAACTTTTTAGCAGTTGAAGTTATATCAAATTTCTTTTTTGCATTCGTTTTATAATATAGGGAAGAATGGCGCTATCTTTTTAGAAATCCGGTAATAGAAACGAGTTCTCGAAAAATTACAAAAATGTAATTTAAACTGGAAAAAAACGAGAAAATTAATCAATTTATGGTGTCTTTTTTATTTAGCGCCAATCTTATGTGTGTTAGCAATACAATAGCACAAACCAGAATCCCAAAAATCATCTAGTTTTTTTTTTGTAGAAATTTACTTAATTCATCTTGTCATTTTGCCTGTCTCTGTTATACCCGCAGCAAACCCTATGGCTCTTTCCTCCGCCTGATTTGCGATAAATTTTAAATCGCTATCATGAAGGATCCAAGGCCAACCGGCCCAACAGTAGCCCAATGCAATAATCGCGATGAACCTCGCATCTTTATTAGCATTAACTTGTTGGGAGTCGTATAGTTCGACGTGCGTTACAATATATTTTAAACGGCGCATTCAATACCCTTAAACCAGAACGTGTTGCCAAAGTAACACTTTATTTGAAATAGTGAAATCAAACCATTTTTACCCACTCATGTCATGTCAAAACAAAAGCATCCTGAACGTTTTAGACAATTTTCCGGTTTTTTGTTCAATATTTCTGCTCACGAATAAAATAGAATATTATAAACGACAGTAAAAAAGCTTTAGAGTAAAAATTAAACGAGAAGAAGCCATTGTCATCAGCGCTGATAAAGAAAGAAGATTTCCTTTTCTCTGGGTCCCTCCCATTTAAAATGAGACAAACGATAACGCGTGTGGCTTCTTCTCGTTTGATTTCTACTCTACCTGTTCATGAAATTAATCCATTCGCTCCTTCGTCGCTTGTGAATCAACATTTTCCACTCACAGGTAAAGCATATATCTTTTTACCGTCTTGCATAATAAATAACTATTACTGTCAATAAATCTATTACAATTCACCACGAGAGAGAGATTTTTGATTGATTTCATTCCCACTTCTTTAAAAAAGCCTTGTTGCTTTATAACAGATCACTTTAATTCCTCATTCAGTTTTGTTTTGATCTCTAAACCACCATCAAATCCAAGAAAATTCCAATTTCTTTCTGTACTTTATTTTACCAATATATTTCAGGAAAAAATTACGGAATGGATAAAATTCGAACAAATGAACTATTTGAATCATGTAAAATATTAGGAATAAAAGAAGAAAATATTTTTCTATATAATAATACCAATCTTCCAGATGCCATGGATGTAAGATGGCCTGTGGAAATTATAGCTCGGCACGTTCTCTATAATGTAGAGGTACTTGAAACAAAAATCTGAAAACAAATTCTTTTTTTTTTATTTGGATTTCTTTAGACATTCGGTATAACGAATATAATAACGTTTGATCGGCATGGGGTATCCGGTCACGAAAATCATATTAGTATATACTACGCAATAGCAAATTTGATTTTAGATCACCGATTACCAAGAAGTGAGTACAATTTTTGTTATTGCAAACTAAAATTTATTTACATCATTTTATAGCTTGTGGGGTGTTTGTCCTGGAATCTGTAAATATAATTAGGAAATATTGGCTTTTTTTAGACATCCCTATCTCTTTAATAATGTCAAGGTTTAGGTAAGTTCTTATTTCATCTAAATTAAAAACTAGAAAAAAAAAATCACATACATATTTCTCTATGAATAGGTGTATGAGAAGTTTAAGTCAAAGAAGACTTATACAACAAGCCATGAACAAACATAAATCACAAATGGTGTGGTTTCGCATGCTGTACATGATATTTTCAAGATATGTGCTCATAAATACATTACAACAGATAAATCTGGTTGATATTGAATTGGATTACTTGGAAATAGAAGATTAAGCCTGTAAATTAAGGAGTGTCTGCGATATGAATGTTTCCGTTTTTCATTAAAATGTTGAATTTGTATTAAGCTTCACAATAACAAAATAAAGAATTACGAATCTTAAAAATGTTTGATGCAAAATTTCAAATTTAAACAATAGAATACCGTTCACACAAAAAATTTGGCTCCCTGGTAAAATTTCCTAAAAAATTGATACAAAAATATAAATTATACATACTTACTAAAAATTAAATTAGCATAACAAGAAAATAATAAATACATATCACACAAAAAATCAATTAACTTCCCAACAGGTTATAAAATAAGCCTCTAAAAGGGCTAAAATTGTGATTACAAACAATTTATTGACTAGATTAACTTTCTAGGGAATTTTACCAGCACCTATTTCTGCAAGATTTCTTGATTTTGTACTGAACTGCAATATTGACTCCAAATGATTTTGTTATAGCACCGTTTTGTGTTGGAAAATGTTCAATGATTTTGTTGTATTACCAATTTTAAAATATTGTTTCCATCTCCATTTGTTATTTTTAGAAGATGTATGTAATATCTACCTCTATTTAAGCCATTTGTGCCAAAGTTTTTTTTTTTTTAAATTTATTGTGTACAGTTTCCCTAGAAAAGTAATGGGTACTTTTTTATGTAATAAATTTTTTTTTTTTCAAAGATATCAAATTTTTGTATGCTGTACTCGATCGATGTTTTTATCTATGTAGAAAAGGTGTCTCAAAAGTTCAAAAAATAAAACTTTTTACTTTTTAAGTTAGCTCTGAATCGACTGGCATTTATTTCTCAAGTTTTATGTGAAAAGTCTTACCATACGGCTTGGTGCAAGTCTTACGTTACGGAAGCTCTGGGTGTCTTGAAGAGTGATTGAACAGTTCCAATTCCAACGCGCATACAGTCCAAGAACTATTCTAGAACAGTCCTGAAATATGACTACAAATACACCCTGGATCTGGATAGTTGCAAAGAAGGGTGAGTTACCTCACTGACACTAGGCTTCGCCTTAGGGCCCTTTGTGTCACCTCCATTTGTTGCACAAATACACCCTGTAATTTAATGTAATTTTCTGAGAACAGGTGCCAAAATTTCGTCCTCTTATCTTTAATGAACATGTATCTGGAGCAGCTAAAATATGCAGGTTTTGTAGTCCTTTCCTTTTTTCGCAGATGCTTTCACCCACTGAATGATTATTTATGTTTCCTGTTTTTAAAAAAATGATTTCATTGGTCGTTTTTCTGATTAGCTTTTATCAAAGCAACCCATGATACAAATATGAATAGTTTATATGTATTTGATACACTTTGACCTCAAAATTGATTATCACCATAATGTTCCAGGACCTATAGAAATATTTCACCGGAAAAGTTAAAGAAACACTTGAACACCTTAGGAAACTACATATATTTTATTATTGGATGAATTTCCTTTGCTCTAGGGAAGGAATATAATAATGTTTCCTCAAAGTTTTGTGTTTCTATTTGTCTTTCTGGTGGTTTTCTATGGTAAGAACCTTTAATATTCATTTCAATTTAGAAATATGTATATGTCTTAGTTATATTTAGATTCAGAAGCTCAAAAAGTGGATATAGATAGGTACCAGGTATATCATCAAAAAGTAAGAACGTTAAACCTTATTTGAAGTATTTGTTTTATTTAATTTTTTTATAGCTTACTTGGAGGGATGCAGCTAAGTTTTGCAAAGCAAGAGACAGCAAATTAGCTGAAATACTGACATATGAACAGCAAAAAGACTTGAGGACTTACATTAGGCAACATCATTTTCTGCCAAAGGATACAGAGTGTAAGAACTTTTTTTTAGATTAAGCTTATGTATATACTTGATTTCATTCTAGCTGGTTACTGGTTAGGAGGCAGATTAAAAGACAGATTTTGGCGTTGGGACGCTACTGGTGAAAACCCTAGGGCCATAAACCATTTTATGGCCGGATGGCATTATGGTGAACCCGATAGAAAATTCAAAGATGATGTACCTCAAGAATGCATGGAATTACAGTACAGAGCGGATTCAGAGTTTACGCAGGCGCTTTCTTGGAACGACATATGGTGTGACGAGCTTCGAAATGTAATTTGTGAATCTTGGAATCATAATCCAGCACCGAATTAACACAACAGAATTTCAAACACAATATTATTATGTATATTAGAATTTCTTCATAAATTAACAAGTACTTATTATAAACACCAAACAATATTATAATTATTGAAATAAGAATTCGAATCACAACCAAATTTTTTAAATACATACATGGTGAAATTATGTGTAGGTATTTCAATAAATTATCAAGGCATTTCCCAAATCTTACCATCTTGAATTCACTCTAAAGCTTAAGCTGATCAGATCAAGTGGCACTTCATACCAGCCAAATTTTCACATGTAGGTGAATTGTAGGAAGCCACCATTAAATCGACAAAATTTCACACAAAACGGGTGTGTCGAAATACGATTTTACCCTACGAAGATATGAAAACTATTCTTGTACGAATAGAGGGTTGTCATTAATTCACGTCCACTACCAAAATTATCCCACAATGCTACTTAAATATTATATGACGCCACTGACGCCAGCTCCATAGCCCATAGCAAGCATGCCCCAACATTAAATATTGGATCAAAATTGTATTAATAGGCTCTCTAAATACCAGCATCTACAACAAATGTTTCTGGTCTCGTTGATAATGAGAATACCTAATTCAGCTCTTGGCTCGCTCAAAATGACTAACAAAACTCTCATAATCTAGAAGCTGGTTCCATTGTGATCCTAATAGAAGAGCCAACTCTACGAAGGCCTATAATAAAAGGCTCTGCCACGCATTTTTATAGTAATTCATAATTATTCAATAAAATGTTTTCGAATCTCGTCTACAGTTCACTAGTTACTCTGAACACAGGGCGGTCTTTTGCCATTTAAAATAATAACACGCTTGAACAGGATGATGGTTTTGATGATCGCATCGTATGTTTTTTTTTTAACTAATTGCCTTTTGTTGGAGCAACCCAAGATACAAATATAAAAAGTTTATATGGTGTTTGACACACACTTTGACCTCAAAATTATTATCGCCTTGATGTATCATAAAAAATATTTCGAAAAAAAAAGATAAAGAAAAATTTGAACAGTAGTTGGAGGAATATACCTAATCATGTTACCTCAAAGTTTTGTGTTTCTATTTATCTATCTGGTAGTTTTATATGGTAAGAACCTTCAATATTCATTTCAATTTGAGAAGAAAATATAGGTATGTGTTACTTATATTCAGATTTAGAAGCGCAACCAGTAGATATAAATAGATACCAGCTATTTCATCAAAAAGTAAGAAACGTTAAACCTTATTTGAAGTATTTACTTTATTCAATTTTTTATAGCTTACTTGGAGGAATGCAGCTAAGTTTTGCAAAGCAAGAGGCAGCTAATTAGCTGAAATACTAACATATGAACAGCAAAAAGACTTGAGAGCTTACATTAGGCAAAATAATTTTCTGCCAAAGGATACACAGTGTAAGAACTTTTTTTTAGAATAAGCGTCATTTATTATACTTGATTACATTTTAGCTGGTTACTGGTTAGGAGGCAGATTGAAAGACAGATTTTGGCGTTGGGAGGCTACTGGTGAAGACCTTAGGGCCGAAAATAATTTTATGGCCGGATGGCATTTTGGTGAGCCCAATAGAGCATTTAAAAATGATGTACCTGAAGAATGCATGGAACTAAAGTACATAAATACTTCAGAGTTCACACAGGCACTTTCTTGGAACGACATATGGTGTGACGAGCTTCGAGGTGTAATTTGCGAATCTTGGAATGATCCAGCACTGAATTAACACAACAAAATTTCAAACAAAATATTTATCATGTATATTAGAATTTCTTCATAATTTAACAATAATCATTATAAACACCAAACAATATCATAATTAAAATAAAAATTCGAATCACAATCTATTTTTTTAAATAAGTACACTCTAAAATTATATCTCAATAAATTATCAAGGCACTTCCTAAATAGTACCATCTCGAATCCACTCTAACGCTGACCTAATACTATGCAACTTAACTCTGCATAAAAACGTAGAAATCAACAAATATTCAGCATAATTAAGCTTTTTTCTTTCATGAAAACTTTTAAGCTTACCTCCCTCAACTATTATTTTAGCAGCTAAATTCAAAAGCCACTCCAAAATCTCTTTATAGGTTGGAAATTTCTCGTTTTTATCCAACCAAGAACTAGGAGCCCATAGGAATAGTTGACAAATATTGGCTGCTATGTCTGGATACAAACGTTCGCCCGGATCGCGCCTTAGCAAGTTTTTAACCAGATTGTTAAAAATTGAAGGCACGCTATTGGGCAAAGGTGGCAAATCCTCATTTTTATAAGACATGCTGCTCAATCTTGTATTCTTATTGCCGTAAAATGGATTTTGAGCTCCAAAAATTTCATAGGCAATTGCTCCAACAGCCCACAAATCTGATTTTTCATAATTCAGTTTGCTAAACGGTCCTGGTTTTTTTGAAATAATTTCTGGGGCCATTAAAGCAGTGTTGCCACCTTTTTCTATATCAAAGCTCGTATAAGGCACTGTTAAATCTAGAGATTTTTCTGCTAGGCAACATCCAAAATCACTCACAACGGCCAAGGGGTTTTCAATATTTGTGGAATCCAATAAAATATTATCAGATTTTAGATCTCTATGGGCAATGTTGTGCGCTACCATATGGACAACTGCTTCTAGGAGTTGAGTGAGAATTAAAATAGAAGTTCTTGATGTCAGTTGATTCGGAGCATTGAGGAATTCGTGTAAGTTTTGCTGATATCTATTCATAAGTATAAACAAAGACATATTTCTTCCTTCGCCTTCAGGGTCAATTCTTTTGGGCAAAGCAGCAGGATACATTTCCCTGCATTGTTCCAATTCAGGAACAAAATCTGTAAAAACTGACAGAATCTTAACAATATTTGGATGAGGAGGGAGGTGTCTGGTCATATTGAGAAATTCGTGCTCGTAGTCGCTAATACCGTGGCAATTGAAATAAATAGGAGCAGGCACTGTTTCTCTATACATGGCTTTCAAAATTGCCAAGGAGTTTGACTGGATATCATAATTGAACATCATTTTCAGTGCCAGAGGACTTGTGTCTCGAGATGTGTGTTTTACGGAATAAACAACAGCATTTGAACCTTTAGCTATTGGTTTGCCAAAGGTAAATGCTTGCAGATTCATTGGGCTGTCATCGAAAGGAGTTTCGTTTGAAATCATGTCTCTATTCCATTGGATTTTTGACATACATTCACGGATCTCCCAGCAGACGCCTGAAAATTTAAAGTAATTTTAGAACTAATTATTCTGAAAACCAAAAACCTTACTCCTTAGGCACTCATGTACTATGAATTTTCAAATGTGTATTTATGATGATATCAGAACTTCAAAACTGAATTAAGGAATGCTTTGATTACAAAAACATATGTCGTCCGATCAAAATGATCCTGTACTGTCAACAGTGATGAAAAAATACGCACTTTGCTTGTTTAACAAAACTGTGAGCTTTAATACAAAACGGCTTAACCCTTGCCTAAAGCAATACAGCTTGCCCACAGAATATTGTACTTTCTATTTAAAGCTCTAGTTCACAATAAAGCTTTTTTCAAGTCTTGCGATTATGTTTTAAGCCTATGCTAGAGCCAGAATGAATCTAGCTTTTATCTCACCTTCAAGTTCTTCATCTTTAGTAAGGAGACCCTGGCCAACTACAGCACACCCAACCAAGCTCAACAAAGGCGCAGTGTTTCCAAATAAGCCCCTCTGAGACGTTTTTTGAAATACTTTGGATGAAACTCCGTTCAAGACATCTTCAACAAGTAAACGTCTGGCCCTTTGGGTGATTTGAATACCGATATTTCTAAGGACATAGTATCGATTCTTGGCTAGATCAGTTTTCTGGCTAGGAAGCGAGGTCTGTTGTAGGGGCTTTACAGTGTTGCTAATGGTTCTTCTTTGAGGATTCGCTGCGGTTTTGCCTTTATTTGCCTGCCGTATAATGGCAGTTCCATGCTTGATCAGCTTCCCTCCAATGGATCGGAGAGACATTTTCTAGCCTCTTGAGGCAGTACCTTTGTGTAAGACGACTTGTACTAGAAAAATAAACAGAATATTTAGTAGATAATTAAAATAAACAACAAAATATTCAAAATAGTTGAACAAAGGGAAATTACTTTGGTTTTATGCACTACACTACCCAAAAAATAAACTTTTGGACTTTTATAAATTATAAATATCGTGAATTGCGCATTATTTTTTTCTGAACTGTCAATGTCAAAATATATAATGTCATATGATGGGTAGGGTATGAATAGTTGTATTCCTTTCACACCTAGGAGGAGTTCCGGAACAGCTCCGGGGCTTCACGCACTTATTCCTTTCGAAAAGTGTTTGTTGCACCACGCATCTGTTCCCTGCAAATCGGGGGTGACTGAGCAGCACCGAAGCGAGTAGCTCGAGTATTTCAAACTCTTGAAAGGAATACAACTAGTTGATCCTTTCACACCTAGGAGGATTAGGAGGGGCTCCGGAACAGGTCCGGGGCATGACGCGGTTATAGCACAGCTTGTTATAGCCTAGTACTCATCTCCTTGAGTACTCAACTGCGAAATTTGTTTTTTTTTTGACATTGCTTCGACAATTTGACGTTTGATACACGCATCAGACACGCATAAAGTCCGGGACACATCTATCATGCATTCTTCCGATCCGACTCCGATCATACAAGCCTAGGGTGCTTATTCTTGGAATAGGAAGCAGCGTTCCCAGGAGAACGAGTTTTCCGCTGCTCCCCTGTTCCAAGAATAAGGACCTTGATTGTATGATCGGAGTCGGATCGGAAGAATGCATGATAGATGTGTCCCTGGCTTAAAACGTGAAATTGTCAGAGCAATGTCAAAAAAGTGCGAATTTCGCAGTTATGAGTACTAGGCGTATTCCTTTCCAAAAGTGTTCGTTTGTTGCAACTACTGTAGCTGGGTTCGGCTTGCACACTCCGTGTACTCCGAGGGACTCCGTTCGCACTCCAGCCGTTGTCCGATTCGTTAAAAGGCAATACCCGAACGGCTGGAGTGCAAACGGAGTTACTCGGAGTGCACGGAGTGTGCAAGCCGAACCTAGCTTGTATTCCTTTTAGAGCCGTTTTACACGGAAAAGTTTCTTCACGAAATTATTGCCGAAACATTTCGTAAAATTACTATTCTTGTTTCGCTTCGTACCTGTTTAACACGGCAAATAAAATTTAGCAAAAGTTTTGTGAAAATATTAGTCATACGACGGCGCCATCAATAATATGAAATTATAACCTCATACGTTAGTAAACCAAAAAATAAGCTAGGGCGAGTTCAGGAATGACACACCCAGTGTGAGTGTGACACCGGTGCGACGCCCTAGCTGTTCAAAAATGCTAGACGGTGCTATAGGCCCAATGGCCAATTGTCAATTCAGGCACACCCATAAAATCGCACTCGCACCCTGTGCGGTATTTCTGAACTCGGCCCTGGTCTTCTCCATCCCACCCTATTTTTTTGGGCGCAACACTTTTTTCACCGCTTGACCCATCGATAAGCAGTCTATCTTTATCTATTACATAGGAAGTCCAATGACGGATTCATAAAGGCTCTAAGAAAGGCTCCAAGAAAAAGAACGCGCTTTTTATTTTGTAAATAGTTGTATTCCTTTCACATCTAGGAGGAGCTCCGGAACAGCTCCGGGGCTTCACGCGCTTATTCCTTTCGAAAAGTGTTTGTTGCACCAGGCATCTGTTCACTGAAAATCGGGGGCTACTAAACACCGGAGCGAGTAGCTCGAGTGTTTCAAACTCTTTAAAGGAATACAACTATTGTGTGCGGCAAAACTCACGCATTTTCTCGGCCGCGCCCACAAAAACTATAGAACATTTTCGGTTTATTTAGTTAGTTTATTGGCGAAATATTTCGTATGTTTTTCTTGTCGTGTAAAGCTTAGTACTCATAACTGCGAAATTCGCATTTTTCTGACATTGCTTCGACAATTTGAAGTTTGATACATGCATAAAACGTCAAATTGTCAACGCAATGTCAAAAAAATGCGAATTTCGCAGTTATGAGTACTAAGCTGAAATATTTCGGCAACAATTTCGTGAAGAAACTTTGCCGTGTAAAACGGCTCTTATACATCGCTTACACCGAACACGCTGAACGTGTCGCTCTAGAGCTCTTCGGAGTCATTCCAAAATACACAATTTAGTTATTAGGCAATTTTTCGCGAGGATAATCATCAAGCATAATCGATTATGCGGGATGATGGCTATGTTCCGATATCAACTGCCAGTACTAGATTTACTGTGCTGATTTCGCTGTCATTTGCAGTCCCGACTTCAACAGCGTACACTTGTGGTTATTCAGTACTGAAACGACTGAATCCAGTCAAATCCAGTGTACTGAAAATAATATAGGAACGGCATCCAGAAAATTCAGTACTGACAGTTGATATCGGAACATAAGTTGTATTCCTTTCACACCTAGGAGGAGCTCCGGGACGTTACGCGCCTATTCCTTTCGAACAGTGTTTGTTGCACCTGAAGTGCTCAGCAGGCTCGAAAATCATCTTTTCTTGGTGGTAAAACGCTTTAGTGCAACACGTAGTTTCTTATAAGATGCATTCCTAATGTTGTAGTTAGCCTTTTGGACCGATTTCAATATAAAAATATGCGGATTATATTAGTTTTCAAGAAAAATCTATAAATTAAAGTGGTTCAATTTAAAGGTGTGTTAGTTTGGGTTAGTTTGCATAGGACTAGTACGCATTACGTGGACGGGTTAGCTTGGGTTAGTTTGCATATTTTTGGTTAGTTTTGGCTACAGTTCGTATCTACTGGTTATAAGTGTACTGATTGAGAACACAGCGCGCGAAGCGGGCTTTAAATTCAATATCCACATACAAGGACTCGCACGCATTACGTGGACGGGTTAGTTTGGGTTAGTTTGCATACTTTTGGTTAGTTTGAGTTACAGTTCGTTCAATATCTACTGGTTATAATATCTACTGGTTTAATATCTACTGGTTATGTGTAAGTAATTGTGAATGTGAATATTCGCTTACTACGGCAAAAAACGTCAATATCCGCACTTAAATTGATACAAAACCAACTGTATAAAGGATATATCAACTAATTTTTATAGAAAATTTGTTAATTTTTGTTGCACTAAAGCGTTTTACACCGCTTTTCTTCATTTATAATTGACGAAAAATTAATTCTCCTCCAGAGCCTGAATCGCGAGCATTCCATCGGGGTCTGCGGGTGACGTCATCACTGACAGCACTTCCTGCTTTGGGGCGTTCGTTTGTGAGCGTTCTATATGGGTGTATCTGCCATAATCTGAAATATAGGTCTGTTCCAACCCGACATGAGAACCGTTCTAGAACGGTAATTTCCAGTTGCCCACCTATTTTTCCATAAGTTCCACGTTTATCCTAATTGACAAATGAATTGATCGACTGTAAACTACCGTTCTAGAACGGTTTTCATGTCGGGTTGGAACAGACCTATTACAGCTTCCCCTCGTTTTTATTCTCATTGGTGACTTCACCTATGAGTTAGCTATCTTTGTTTAGTGAATGGAAAATAAGATTGACGGCCATAGAATGGTGGATCCATCGGTAAAATTTGATGAGAATAAAAACGCAGGGCTTATTTCAAGTTGCGACACAAACAAACAAACCTTAGGTCTGTTTCTGCAGAAATCACAAACGTCGGAGTGAATTTCATTGGTTGTAACTACTTTTCTGATTGTTTTCAACCAATGAAATTCGCTCTGACTGGCTTGTGATTTCTGCGGAAACACACCTATTAACATTACCTAAATGGGCTTCTTGCATCCCCTACAAATTTGGTGCATCAGGGGAAAGGGGGATGCACTATGAGCGATTCGAGTGCTTAACGCACTAAAAGGAACGTTCAAGCTTTTGACATTGAGCACCTCCGAGTAGCTCAACAGGTAGAAGGAATACAGTAAATTGGTTGCCCCAGGGCAGGGAGCAACGCGAAGGGCCGCCCGCAGCTCTCTCAATGCTCTCAACTCAATCCACCCAACCAAAAAGACGGTTGTCCCTAAATCGTGTTCGTCAATTATAAAGTCTGATCGTCATACCTATTTAATTGTTCTATGTAGTAAAAGTAAAAGTATGTATTTCTCCTCTGAGATATTGAATCGAATCTAAATAAAACCCCTAGTCTAGAACAACCGAATTTATTGAATTATTCCTGAACCCCAGATAACACAGTTAAGAAATGTATTTGTAGAGTTTACAGGGTAAGTACCTACTTTAGTCAACTCTCCAAATTAGCTCTGCCCTTTACGAACAAATTTTGCAAAAGCTATAGTTTTTTTCACGTGGCACCGGTTTAACTAACCGGGTTACAAAACGGTTAGAGCAATGACATACCGTTTTCTAACCCGGTTACAAAGTGACGTGATGGATACCTACCACTCGAATTTGAGCGGTATGTTGCGGTTTGTTAAACCGGAGCCACGTGAAAAGCATTAATGGGAACTGTTAAGCCTAGTACTCACAACCGCGAAATTCGCCGTTTTTTGACATTGCTTCGACAATTTGACGTTTGATTCACGCATAAAATGTCAAATTGTCGAAGCAATGTCAAAAAAGGGCGAATTTCGCTGTTATATTACTAGGCTAAAGTGACCTTGCGTTCGGTATTTAGCTCAAAGACAGAGCGTGCTGAGCGGAGCCGTAATCACGTGACCAGCAAGCGAACAGAGCAGTTGAACGCTGCATCCAGAGTACCAGGAATTTTAATAAATAAACGCAAATGAGCCTGCATCGAGTACACTTTTCAAATAAATGAACGGTAATTTCATGCTCGGAGAACTCAGATCCAAATACCGAACGCACAGTGAAACTAAAAAGAACTAAGCTAATTTGAGAACACATCTCATTATTAAAGGGGGTGTGACCCTAAAAAACGACTTAAGCTACTTAAATCAAGGAAAAAAATCTATGATCTTCCGTGAAAACCACAATCCTATATTCAAAATAGTCTCCAAGAAAATTCCTTGTGAAAATAAATTATGCAGGAACTGATGACTTCACAGCCGCCAAAATCGCAGTCTTCTGTTCGTTCAGTCGTCATTGAACCGTACTCTATATATACTATACTTTGAGTGGTTGCAATTTGCTTTAGTGAGATAATTGTCTTTTATTTTGGAAAATTTTACACGTGTTAATACTGTGCCTGATAATTCGGTGTGACGTCACAAAAACCTAGTAGTAACTTTAAACCGCCCTAACTCGAAAACGGAGCATCGTAGCAAGGTGC